AGTGCTTTGATAGCGGCCTGGCTGTCAGACCAAATATATATATATATTTCGTCATTGTCTGTGGATTTACCAGAATCTTTGTGTATTTTGTGATGGGCAGCACTTCTGCTTGGAACACTGTAACCTTGGTTCCAATGAACGGGCTGTTTCCGTGGTGCTCCGTCGGTCCATACAGTCCCACCCAAAAACAATCTCTGTGTTCTGAACCGTCCGTGTACCAGTGCATGACGTTATAGCTTGGTGATCTCTTGACAGTTTCCCAGTTTTTCCTTTTAGGAATATAAGTTCGAAAAGATTTCCTGATCTGGTACTTCCTGGTGATTCTATCATGTTGGTGATTCAAGGAGCTTTTTTCTAGTATACCTAGGTTGGCCTGCGCTGCCCTGGCTGATCCATTCCCCTTGACATACCAGCCTGCATGCAGATGATTTTGCTTTGCTTATCAGCAAGAGGTCAAGAGGTGACAGATTGGGAGCTACCTCCAGTGTGTCTGCCGGCCTAGTTTTTATGGCCTCGGTTGCCGCTCTTCAGAAATTTTCTTGGAGGGCTTTGAGCCGGGTTCCTTACTTCCACTCTCTCCGCCCTGGGCCACCATACCACTGCCGCGTACGTGAGTCGCCGCAGCAGAATCAGGCTATAGCGCCAAACGCTGATTTTTGAGTTGAAACCCCAGTCTCTGTCCATGGCCCTTCTAGATACCTACAGACAGACATAACTTTTGCTCATCTGTGTTTCAATATACTCCTTTAAATGAAGCTTTTGGTCAAGCTGGACTCCTAAATATCTGACGGAGGTGGTGCATGCGATATTCGCTCCTCCCAGTCTCAGTAGTTTAGGGCTCACCACTGGGTGTTTTCATGTGAATATCATGGCGAACATCGTTTCAGGGTTAATTAAGAGTTTCGTCCCATCAGACCGTTCTCCCAGCGCTTTTAGGGAATAGCTTAATGTGCCCCTTAGCGTGTTTAAACACTTTCCCCTTGCAATAATGACCACGTCATCAGCATAGCCAGGACACCCCTGCTCCCTCAGTTTCTCTCAAAGTTCATCAACCACAAAGCACCACAGGAGTGAAGACAAGACCCCACTTCGTGGACAGCCTCCTATAGGATGACTTCGACATTTGCTCCGCTGTATGCTACTGCCTGCTTCTCAACATGCTTCGCATCCACTCAATGATGCTGTCAGGGCAGTCCGTCCTTGACAAGCCTTCAATTAGGACATCCTACTTGATGCAATCGAACGCTCCCTCGATGTCCAAAATATTCCCATAGCGTAATCCTTTTCCTGTATTTCATTTCCGACTTTTGCCTACAGATGGTGCAAGGTCGTCTCTGTGGACCTTCTCTCTCTATAGACATACTGCGATGATGACAGTGGTCAGTCTATAAACAGTGAGCTTTTTGTGTATCTGTCCAGCAGCCTCTCTAGCGTCTTGAGAACGAAAGAAGTTACACTTATGGGTCTGAAATCTTTTGGCTTTACGTAGCCATTTTTCGCAGGCTTGGGTCGAAACACGATTTTTGGTTCCCCCTAAACCTGTAATGCGGTTCTCCGAACCACGCTGGCTCTGAGAATCTTTGTAATTGGTGTCAAGATAACGTCCATTCTCTTCTGCAAGAGCACTGAGAATATGCCATCGAGAACTGACACCGTTAGAGGTTCAAAGCAATTCATTGGCCATTCCACTCGTTGTAGGTAAACGATTTTAGCTGCTAGAGCAGGGCTGGGCAAACTCTGCTCTGAGAGCAAGTCGTGCTCCCGACCTCTATTAGTGCGTAACAAAGGGTAGACGAAAGCCCATTGTATCGGGTG